TATATATATATATATATATATATAAATATATATTAAATATATAATATATATATATATATATATTATATATATATATATATATATATATATATATATATATATATATATATATATATATATATATATATATTTATATATAATATATATAAATATATATATATATATAAATATATAGTATATATATATATATATATATATATATATATATATATATATATATATATATATATATATATATATATATATATATATATAATATATATATATATATATATTTATATATTTATATATATATATATATTTATATATATATATATATATATATATATATATATATATAAATATATATATATAAATATATATATAAATATATATATATATATATATGTATATATATATATATATATATATTATATATATATATATATATATATATATATATATATTATATATATATATATATATATATATATATATATAAAATCAGTCAAAAGAGAAGTAATTCTACATAAAAATGGAAAAACATTTTTTTTCTAAACTCTGTGTTATGTACTCTATTTATTTATTTGAAAATTTAAAAAAGTGGTTTTTTTAAAATTTTGAAACTTTCACAAAAGAAAAATGCAAGTAAGAAACTTACTTTGCGTTTTTCTTTTGTGACAGTTTCAAAATTTAATGTTGTAAGTTTTGATTATAAACTCTTTTTTAAAAAGCAAGGCTAAAAATAAATTATCACAATGAGATAAACCTTTATGTTTTTATTTGAAAAATGAATCCTTGGCTTATAGTGAATAATTATATGTAGTCAGTTTCAGTAATAATTTTACCCAATAATCATTTTTAATGACGTAAAAGTAAGCTTATCAGCTCAAAACATTACAACAATAACATCACAAAATTAACAAATAGTGTAAAATGTTACAATAAAACTCTCAGTAACTCAAAGTTTCAAGAGACTAAGAAATTATTAAAGAATACTTAAGTTATTGGGAGTATAATCCATAATTAAAGGCTCAAGTAGAATTTTCTAGTTATTAAGTGCTATTGAGTTATCCAGAGTTTATTTTACATATTTAAACTACTAACAGCCTAACACTTGTAAATACATATTTCATTGCATTGCATATTTATTATTACACATTTTATGATTATACTAACTTCGAACATATTTTATTAAGTGTTTCATCATAACAGTACACTACTTGGCTGGCCAAGACAAGAATTTTGCTCTCAACAAGAGTCAAGTCACATTATTGCTAAGTAAACTACTTGGCTAGTAAGGGCAAACCTTGTTGCAACGTTTCAAGACCAAACCTTGTTTCAATGTGTTGTAACTAGGCCAAGTTACAACACATTGAAATTATAAAAACAATATTATAACCACTTGCAAACTATAAACACTAGGGCATTTCATATTTCAGTCAAAGTTTTAATTTTTAAAATTTTCACTAGTACACTTGGATTCCTATGTATTTGGGTATGAGGAATTCAATTTTCATAATATTTTTGTAAAATACTATTGTTTAGCTGCCAGGAAATGAGTTTTAAATTTACGGTTTTAATAAAAATTAATCTTTTTAAATTAAGGGTTTATTTTTAAAAAGGTTTATTCAATTATTAATACAAATTGAAACCACAAATATTATAACATATACAATTATCATCAGCCCCCCCCCCCCCCAGGATTCCTGTGCCAGGAATGTGTAAAAATGGTTAGGGCTCTCTGCACTCCCCCCCCCCCCTCCTTCCTTGTCA